TAGCGTTGACCCCACCTCTGCGCACCGGAAGGCCGGGTCATCTTCAGGGATCTGAGCTCAAGCTGCCTGATGTGACGATGGGAGCAACGCAGTAGAGATTCCCGTCCTCCAGAGATGGCACCAGCTGATCGAGGCCTAGAATAACTACCAATACTATTTTGGGGGCTCCTTATTATGATTTATGGTATAATGGGCCCCAAAACCCTATTCTAATTATTCAGGGCCCCTACTGTTGAAATCTCAGAAGCTCCTTGTAACCCATGGTCAGGCTCTCGTTGACGTCGGTGCGGGGAGCAAACTCAAGGGCGCCCATGTCGAGAAATTGCCCACCTGCAGCGGCAGGTATGCTGCTTGTTACCCTTCTACGAATCACTCCATTAATCTAGAATCTACAACTTCGCCCAACGTGCCTGATGCTTTTCTGGTGTCTACGTTGGTGATCATCGCAAGGCTCTCTGCCTCGAAGTACCTTCATACGGATATTGCATCAGATCCATATACCCCAAGGCCACAGACAAGCTGCGCACGGCTGCATGTAAGCAGACCATGTGTAGAGTCCGACAACCACGCCGGCAAGCCAGGCCTCAGAATTCTCCCCTTGGTTCTCTTGCCAGCCATTACCAGGAGTCGATGGTTCCCACAACGTCGAATTAATGATCACCTGCACTGCCCTTCCCTGAACGACTTGGGCAGCTGCCACGGAAGAAACGATGGCCAGGAAGAAGAACCTGCCATTGTATTCTTATTATTGTCATCATCGAAACATTCCTAATATCAATATTTTACGATGGTGATGATGATGATGGTGATGGTGATGATGATGATGATGGTGATGATGATGATGATCATGATGACGATAATGATGATGATGGTGATGATGATGATGATGATGATGATGATGATGATGATAGCGATGATGATGGTGATGATGATGGTGATGGTGCTGGTGATGCTGATGCTGAGGATGATGGTGGTGATGATGATGATGATGATGGTAGCAATGGTGATGACAACAAGTACTATTGCTATGATTATATCATGGCTGAAATGCTGCTTAATATTCCTGTTCTTCTTATTGTTAGATAATATTAAGCCGATTATGATTACTACGCTTATTAGTGTCATTATTGTTGTTACTATTCTCTGTTGTTACTACTACGATGCTCCTATTCATATTATTATCCTGTTTGCTATTCCTCCTGCTCCCCTGCTCCTCCTGCTCCTGCTCCTGCTCCCGCTGCGGCTGCGCTGGTAGTACTACTGATGCTGCTACTCCAGCTAGTACTAGCTGCTGCTTCTGCTGCTACTACTACTACTACTTCTTCTTCTACTTCTACTAGCTACTATCTACTATCTACTATCATGTACTACTACTACTACTACTACTACTACTACTTCTTCTTCTTCTACTTCTACTATCTACTATCATGTACTACTACTACTACTACTACTACTACTACTACTACTACTACTACTACTGCTACTACTACTACTACTACTACTACTACTACTACGGCTACTGTGTGAGCACTATGATTTGCTTATTAATATTAATGCTACTATTGGTTTTTGCTACAAATATTATTGTTACTGCTATCGTTATCATTACTATTACTAGTCCTAGTGTATCATTCCTACTATTACTGCGAGAGGTTTCCCACCAGTTCTCGGCGACTGCAGACTTTTGGAATGCTCTGAATTCCCTCATGTAGGGGCCTTAAAGATTGGAATAGAGGTCTGGGGGTATATCATACTTTTACTATAGCAAGAACCCCTCAAAACCCTATTCCAATCATTTAGGCCTCTACATTAGATGACCTTTGTTTTGCTTACATGCCCCGCTTCATGTGCGTTATACTCTGCCTTCGCGCTCTGCACAGCTCTCGCGAATTCGTGGAATTGGTTCTGGAGCGCATTCGGGGTTTGTAGCGGCAGAAGTTCAGCTAAACAGGAAAACGTTTGAGGCAGAAGCGACTCATAGTCTGAAGATGTGTCACAAGACCGGGACACCAGTTTGGCTCTCTGTGCGAGATGTCTGTGGAGTCTTGCTGCCTCGGAAGAGGGCTATCCTCTACTCGGCTCATCCGTCATGCGCTGTGCGGGGAGCTCGAGATCCCGGCTGGTGCCAAACTCTGTACCACATTCCCAGCGGAACGAGCAAGCCTGAAGCAGGATTGTCGGGCGCCTTGGGGGGTTTAGCATCTACTTCCCGGAGCGCAGGGCAATCCAAGCGGTCCGAGCTCTGCACAGGCAGCGACCAGCACCAGCACGGGGACCGTGTGCTTGTAATGGATCTCAGAGACTCGGATTCCGATCCCATGCCTTAGCCTTCCACCACACCTTGGATCCTAAACTCCCAACTGCAGCTGGCTGGTCATACCCGCTTGCTTGAGTGCCTAATGCCAAGTAAATCTGATTTCGTCCATCGCACTCCACACAGACTACGTTCCCCACATCCTAATTTGTCAGAGTCAGCCGCGCTAGCAAACAAGGTCTCTGCATAGACTTCGGGCCGAGGAGTGGGCCGAGAAGGTCAGCAGCCAGGAGACGCAAAGAAAGATTGCCCAGGGGACGAGAACTGCCTCCACAAGTCGAAGCACAGCTGCTGCAGAGGTTTAGGGTTTAGGGTTTAGGGTTTAGGGTTTAGGGTTTAGACCCGAGCACCTCCAGCATTGCTACTCGGTTCAGCCGCCATCTCCTGTCAACAATTGCGGTTCCCAAACGGCTCCCTGCTCCCTGCAGCTCTCTGAGTATGGTAGTGCGATTCACTTGTGCTACGACTGTCCCTGGCACTGGCTTCGACTGCAGCGGCGCCGCGCCGTAGGCCTTCCGTGACAAGAACTCAGGGATCGCTGGTTCGACTCCCAGACGATCGTCACCGACAACGGGCGCAACCCTAAACCCCAAGCCGCTTTTGAGAAATCCCACGATCTGCCTCCATTGGCCCAAAGCTCCTTGGCTGTGCGACATGCATACTTGCTGATCTTTCCACGCTGTACACCCAAGCTACATTTTCGGGCGCAATGTACTACTTCAAACGTTGTACGATCGTGTCTCGCCATGCGTATCCCAGCGATACATGGTGCTGCTGCACGCATAGGAAAAACAACAATTCAGACTGTGGCAATGACCACACCCGTGGTCATACGCACTGAGAAAAGAAAGAAAGCAAGAACGGCAATGACGACCATTATGCACCATTATGACTACCTATATACCACGATAACTACTCTATATACCATAATCACTACAAGCACCCTACATACCAGAATTCATACCTCGGGCTGCATCTTGCTGCCGAGATTCCTGCGCTGCAGCCCCTTTGTGTACCTTGTTTCAAAGAGGCTTGGTGGAAGTCAGAGAATGCAAGATGCAAGATACAAGAATAGGCGAGTCAGACTAGTGACTTGTGTTTAGGGTTTAGGGGCTTGGGTTTGGGCTCAGGGTTTAGGGCTTAGTGTGCTAAGCCGGTTCTCATGGGCTGTCATGCAAGCACTCGCGGTAGTGCGATCCAGTCCGAGATGCACTACCGAATCTGGGCGGGGAGTTCAATCGCCCACATTGTGCTGATGCTCAACACTGCGGATGAGACAGAGTCGCATCAAAAAGCTGCTGACACTGAAGCCGCGCTCAACTTTACGACCACTTCGACTCCGACGACTGTGACGACTTCGACGTCCTCTTCTTCCTCTCCTACGCCTCTCGTGTCCTTGCTCTTCTCCTGCTACAGCGACCACTTCTGCGGTAAACCGCTCCTACGGCTACTTCTGCTGCTGCTCGCAGCTAGATGCGACGACGGCGACAAAGATGATCCCAAACAGTGACCACTGCTGAACGATATGACAGTCTTGTATTTGCAAGGCCTTACTGTTCAAGCACTGCTGACAGCTTTGGGCTTCTCACAGTGGGCCTAATATGCCCGCAGACGGGGGCTGTGCCGCAAATTAGCCATGCATTGATCGGACGTAGAAGCCCTTCTAGCCCAACACAATGCATTTTCCTTCAAAAGACTGCATGTCGCGCACACGCGCGCGACGTGAGACAGCATCGAAGTGGCTTGATCGTGTCAACAAGTTTACCAGGTGGCAACTCGTGTGGACCGTACCCACACTTCCAAGGGAAAGACCTGCACTTCGACGTGTTGACTAACGATATCTCAGTCCGCTTTGCGGATGCGAGAACCAGCGAGAGTTCTGGTCATCTTTGGGATTCTAGCGGCCACGTGGCATTCTTGCAACGCTCTTGCATGGGGCCCATGCAGTGTATAAGACAAGCTTTGTCGTCGAAGCACGTGCACTGTGAGACTTTCGAGCAACCAGTGGCGATCACATGTGCTGGCCTCAGCTAAGCGGCAAGTAAGCGGCAGGGGGCTCTCAGATCCAGCACAGAGGGTCAGACTTGGGCCTTGCTCACTGCTCGAACAAGCTTTTCGGCGCGGGCTGTGCTGCGACGCTTGGGAAGAGGACTACGTCTGCCTTCTACCTGGTCCCAGCCTTGCACTGCTGGCTGCTGGGTCGCGGCTCGGCTTCACTTCTATTTCTGTCCGCAACCGGGCTACAAAGGCACCCTTTGCACACTGCTGGGCTCAGCAAGCTCACGGGCAAGGCGCCGGCACATGCTGAAGTTTGTGTGAAGGTCCACGGAGCAAGGACGGTGCCGTTGTGATCTACATTTTCTTTCTCATCACCTCGTTTCATCATGTGCTCTGCTTGGGCCTGCGTCACTAGGCAGCCGTGCTCGAGACAGCTCCGTAGCCTGGATTCCGCAGGCTCTCTTTGAGGCCTGTCAGAGCTTGGAGTCCCAGACTTGGCTTGGGAAGGACCTTCCTTGCCCTTCTCCGACTCCTCACTTCTCACAGATCACGAGCGCGAAATCGTCCTCCTGAAAGCTTTGGCTGCTTGCCTCGTGCATCGAAGCAACATTGCGACGACTGCAGAAAACTGATGGAAAACCAGAATGCAACTCGACGCGGCCTGTCGACTGGATCGGTGTGGAGCTTTTTATCGGATTGAGGCCTGTCTGCTTCTGTCCGTCACCGGGTGTGTCAAAGCATGCCACTGTACACATCCACCGCAATCTAACAGCAACAGGCCAGAGAGAAACTCGCTCACCGAAATACGTGCAGTGCAGTACCCCCAAGGCTGTTTGACAAGCTGTCGCCTCGAGCCGCTGAAGGACTCTGTCGACATCGCTTTGTGGAATGGAGCCACGCAGAATCTCCTGTTGGAATAGGGCAGATTGAACAATTTCTGCAGGATTGTCACACGGCCCCGGGCCAACGCCAGCAACACCAGCAGCAGCCGCCGCTGAAGCGACGAATGCCATCATCAGAACTGGAATCACGAAACCCAATACCGTCTCATGTCGTGTTCGGGGATCACAGACTGCTACAGTCAGAGCGAGGCCTGGAGGGAAGTGCCGCAACGACAAAAAAAGGAAAAAAAATAACACAATCACAGAGCATCAGAGTCAGAGAGTCAAATCATCCGAAACCCTTGATCTCTGCTTCCGCCAGGCGTCATGAACGAACTCTTCGCCTTGCAACATCACCCTCAACAGCAATATCAGCATCATGGCCTGCCTCGGCCATCATCATCACCATCATGGTTTAGGGCTTAGAGTTCAGGGTTTAGGGTTTAGGATTCTCATCACCTTGCGTTCATCGTGGAAAAAGCACAGACTAGCAGCTGCAAAAATCAGAACTGTCAGAACCATAACCACAATCAGACTCCAGTAGCACCCTGGGGGTGACTATGGTGATCACAGAATCTGCCCTCGCAACGCAGCTCTTTCACAACGCACCTTTCAGAAGTGGTATGTGTTTGATTGAGGAGAGGTGTGACGAGTAGGATGTTCGAACTCGAAACTTTAAAATTTTGAATGCATCAGATGTAGGACGAGATGGGGGGGATTGAAAGTGTGAAAAGTCTGGAGCGTAAAAAGTTTGAAGTTCGAAAGCTTGAGCGTTTCGAGTTTGAAAGTAAGCGCGAGTTTGGAATTTGAAGGTTTGATCGAGAATCCAGTTTGAAACTTTCAAAGTTCAAAGGTTGAAGCTTTCAAACTCTCAAGCCTTCGAGTTCGAACGACCTCGCCGGGACACCATTCTCTATTTAGCTGCCCACGACGAATGTATCTTCTGATCTCGGAACCCGAAAACTGTTACACCCTAGACCCAACACACTAAACTCAACAACAGAAACACGCCAGCACCCCAAAACCTCCAAACAGGAAGCCCAAATTGGAAGGGCCCCCTGCGAGATAAAGCGTCTAGTTCGCTTCGTTGCTGTGTCTGCCTTTACCAGCGAAACCCGTTGGTTTGCTACCTCGACCATGGGCCTCTTGAGTTCAGAGATTTGCACAATTTGAAACTTGAAACGGTAATGATATTATCTGATCAGTTAGTATAATATACTCATGTAGAAATATCAGATGTGAATGGCAGGAAAAGGCGTGTGATGGGCTCCATTGCAGCTGCCACGAGGCTAGTTAGCTACACCTGCTCAAAGTCCGGGACATGTGGGAGTTTCCGAAAATTAGGGTACCTTAGTTTGGGGTACTTACAATGAGGATCCTACTATTTGAGGTACTACATTTGACCCCCATTTGTATCCTCCTGGAGTCTTTGCCGACCATCTTGCTGCGCAGGGCGAAAGACGAGCCTCAGCTCCAGTTTCGGATTTGGGATGATTTAGGGACGGTGAGAGCTTAAGAGCTTAAGGTGTGGGGGTTCAGGGATACCCTAAATCCTAAACCCTAACCCCTTAAGGTGTGGGGGTTCAGGGATGCCTAGCATTGAGGAGTTGTTGCATGGTCTTCTGTGCAATCTCTTTTCAGTCCCTTAGGGTCCTTTCTGGCCCTGGTTGGAGTGGGTCTAGCGGCCAGGGTTTAGGAGGGTTTGGCTTTAGGGCTTAAGGTTTAGGGTTTTCGGGTTTAGGGTTAAGGGTTTAGGATTTAGGGTTTAGGGTTTAGGGTTTAGGGTTTTTAAAATTTACGTAAGGGCTGAGGAGGCTTTGTTGAGCCAAGGAACACCGGGATGCCGCTCACCATCACTCCATAGCCTTCCAGACTACATGCATCGGAGACAGCTTCGATCCTTCCGCGAGCCTTGCGGCTCAGCACTTTACGATTAAGCTCGCAAAACTCTAAACCCTCTGAATCCGAAACCCTGAACCCGACACCAATGCTCGCGATCTGATCAGCAAATCAGCACCGGCCTGCGGGCGCAAGCGTCTTCCTTGCCAGGGCTTAGGAGCATAATTTGCAGCATAATACACTGCAATATACTATAATGCACTAGAGTATCTCACAAGCTTCTCTAATGTACTATAACCTTCCAGAATATACTACAATGTACTGTAGTATGGAGGACCTGGGCCATGGCTAGTCTCAGCAAAGGCTGCCCCCCTTTCTGCAGCGGAGGGGCCGCAGCCAAAGAGAGCTACATTCCTGGAGCTCCCGTTGGAATCTGGTAGACTCCAGCACCTTTCAAAAAAGAGCAGCAGAATCATCATTAGCACCGACCACGCCCATGCTCAACTATTCAAGAACTGACCGTGCTGGAGCAATCAGCCTAACCCAAACCCAAACGAAGCCTAAGGTAAAGAAAACAAGGAAAACGATGTCAGCAACGACAACACCTCTGGAATCGGAAGTCCTCCATCACCTTAAGCGCGATATCTATAGCAAGCCATCTAGCCGAACTGTTTGTACCCAGCTGTAGTGGAACGCGACATCAGATTATGTTGTATAGCAGCACGCAAAAAATCCATGGTGCAGTCGCCTTCTTTGCCTCTGCTTTGTCGAGGCCTGCCTCTTCCACTGAGTCCAAGAGCACCTCCGGGAGTCAGCTTGCATGGGCTTCACGTCGAGTGCTGAGTTCAGAGTCCAGCTCTTGTTCTCCGTCCGCTTCCTTCTAATTAACCCATTGCGCTCAGCTGCACCACCCCGAAACTACGGTTTAGGGTTTAGGGTTTAGGGACCCTACGCCCGAAGTGCTGCAACGTAATGGCCATTGGAAAAGTCGCTGCAGAAACTCTGCCTTGTGGTTGGCGAGCTGCTGGTCTTCGCTGTGGTGTCGCCAGCCTTGCTCGAAGCACATGGA